AGCTTCACATAAATAAGACAAGTCACATTGCATAAGTGCCCAGAATTTAATTACTTAAGAGCAAATTTTCAGTACAAAGTTGATTCTAAAAGTGAACTTAAAAGCAAAATAAAATTTTCACATTGCATAAGTACCCATAATTTTAGTACTATTTCATACATACATATAACAAAAAACAGGAAATAGTTGTTTTTCCTTCAAACATGAAACAAAATAGTACTTATAGTGGCCACCAAAACAGTACTAAGAAAACACCATTGATATCAACATTATAGTTTCCATGGGTCTCGAGGTTGTGAAGAGGAGGAAGCATTTGGGTTTGAAAGCCTTGATTGATCTCTAATCTGCTGGAGCCTTCTAGTTGTGATTGCTTGATTTCCTTTCCACTTCAATCCACTTGTTGGTTTGAAACCAACATCCCCAGTTACAACATTTGATCTCAAAACTCTTTTTGGTCCAGCTAATATTCTGCTACTTGGCAGTCCAGGCTATAATTTTTTTAGAGAAGTAAGGTTATTAGAGAACAAATGTTATCAAGTCATTAGGGTACAAACATTATGAATGCATCACAATACTTACATTGAAAGTTTTTGAGACCATTTTCAGCTTGAAACACACCCATTCCAGTTACTCTTGGCCTTTTAAATTGAGTTTGTGTTTCCAACACCCTTTCCTTTCCTGGCAGTAGCAGTTTTCTTTGGTGCAACATTTGTATTCTGGTCTACACCCTGTGTTGTACTACCTTGAGAACATGTAAACCAACTTTCAAGTGGATGATTAATACCTCTTGCTGCACTTCCCAGTCCCCTGCCTCTTCCTTTACCACTCCAGGCTCTTGATGATACTCCAGCACCACTTACACTTGCACTTGCTTCATGTGTTGGTGTTCTTGAAGTTGTTGGAGGTGCAGTGGTTCTAGGTGAAGCCCTTGATGCACTTGCACTTGCACTTGCTTTATGTCTTGGTGTTCTTGAAGTTGTTGGAGGTGCAGTGGTTCCAAGTGCATCCCTTGATGCACTTTCACTTGTTTCATGTCTTGGTGTTCTTGAAGTTGTTGGAGGTGCAGTGGTTCCAAGTGCATCCCTTGATGCACTTTCACTTGTTTCATGTCTTGGTGTTCTTGAAGTTGTTGGAGGTGCAGTGGTTCTAGGTGCAACTTTTGATGCACTTGCACTTGCACTTGCACTTTTAGGTCTGCCTCTCCCCCTTTTTGCAACAGGCTCATTCTCAATATTTGTTGATTTCTAATTTGCAAAAAAACATTTATTATATTAGTAAATTGATTAAACTTTAAAAGTAAGTGACAAAATAGTAATGTACCTTTGGTCTTCCCCTTCCCCTTCCCTTTCTTGAGCTTGATGGTTCTTCAACATTTGAAGTGGGGGTAGCTCTATGTCCCTCGGCAATAGAACTAACTCCATCACTCCTTCGTAAATGACAACTTCTTTTGTTGTGACCTTTAACATGGCAAAGACTACATGTCATAGTTAGTCCAGTTTTAGACAGCTTACCAGACACCTTAGTTTCACCAGCCTCTTTCCTTCTCAGCTTTCTAGGCCTGCCTGGCATTTTTTTAATCACTGGTGGAGCAACTAGAGGATTTCTTGATTCTGGCCACATTGGCATGTTATTCATAGGTTGTATGAAATGTGAGTAAGTCATCAAATACCTCTCTTTAGAGTAGCATGGATGAATGAAATCATGTGGATCATATTGTCTATGCAACATTGCAACTAAGGCGTGTGCACATGGTATTCCCTTCAACATCCAAGATCTACAACTACACTCCCTCTTTCTCAAACATACAGTGTGTTGTTTGTATCCATCTAAAACCTCATATCCAGTTACTCCATTAAACTCAATGTTACATGCCATTGACTTATCAATATTTTCTTCTAATACTTTCATTGCCATTGGAGAGAAGTTGGTTATCCAAGAGTTTGGAAATTCACTTAACCTAGCTAACCTAGTCATGACCTTAGTCCTTATCTCTTCAAGCATACTAATAATGGTTTTATGCCTTGCAGACAAAATCCAAGCATTAAAGCTCTCACACATATTATTATCTATTGCATCAGACTTGACTTCACAATTAAAATACACTTTGCACCAATATTCTTTATCATAGTAAATTAGATCATCCACTATACCCGTACCTAATTTAGACAGCTCTTCCAGATTTTCTCTGAATTCAGCTTCAAAAGTACTTCTAGCACACTTCCAGAACAGTTTCTTCCTTTGCAGCCCTTTCCAATTCTGTGACCAATTTGCTAGTATATGCCTAGCACACCTTCTTTCCTCACAAGCTGGCAACAACTTCTTAATAGCTAAATCCAGTCCCTACAAGTTACAACAAACATTAAATAATTAAGTTGAAAAAATAGTAAACCAACAGAGAAATAAAACAAGTTTACCTTTTGCATGTCTGACATAATGGTGAAATTTGTTCCATCTCCTAATCCCAAATCTTCTTGCAACAGAGAAATAAACCAACTCCAACTGTTTGTGTTCTCATTTTCAACTATAGCCCAAGCAAGTGGAAGCATTTGATTATTGCCATCTTTGGCCACTGCAATAAGTAATTGACCCCTGCATACCCCCTTCAAGAAACAACCATCCAAACCAATGCATTTTCTAGCTGACATGAATGCCATCTTAAGTGCAGCAAAACAGATGTAAAATGCCTCAAATACTACCCTACCATCTTCATTAGCTTCACCAAGCTTCACCACACAAGTACTCCCAGGATTAGACCTTAACAACTCATCCTTATAATCAAGAATTCTCCCAAAACTCCTTAACATGATCACCCATAATTTCATTCAAAATTTTAGCTCTTGCTCTTCTAGCCGTGGTCTTACCAACATGCACATTATACTTCTTCCTGATTAACTCTTGCAACTTGAACACTCTGATATTTGGTTGTTCAATCACTTTATCTTTAAAAACACTAGCAATGAATTTAGAGTTGCACAAGTAATTTCTAGAAGCCTTTTGACATAAATGTATTGGCATGTAAGTCTTAATAACAAAGTTGTTAGTCTTCCTGTCCAAACTTGCATATAACAACCATTTGCAATTTACCTTGCAACATCTCACCCTTACTCTAGTTGGCTCATTCACACACTTTTCAATCTGAACCCTTCTCTGAATTGCATACTTAGTGACTGCCAATCTAAACTCTTTTATACTTTCAAAAATCATACCCAATTGCCACACAATCTTCTTACTGTTGGGATCAAATTTGATACTGTCTGTGGTATGTTTTTTCCTTTTTGTGTTAGGCAGTTTCAACCTCATTTTTTCACCTTCTTCAAGACAATTATCATCTGTGTCAGTTTCAAAACTACAAGCATCAGAACTTGCATAATATGGTTCATCACCCCCTAGCCTTCCTTCTAAAGTATTTGTATTGATAGCAGTCTCATCAAACCCAAGATCTGCTCCAGCATTACCACATGGTACTTCTTCAGTATCTGCAGGAATTCTCTCCCTTCTTTTCCTCCTCCTCAGAAAAGATCTTTTTTCAGCCCTCAGTTGAATAAGCTCCTCATGAACATCACTACAATATTGATCATCTTCAAGTAGTTCACTATCTTCAGAATCACCACTTTCTTCAGTTGACTCATCAGATCCTTTTACAGAGTAGTCACTATCTTCAGAATCTGATGGATCAGTATATGGAGCTGTTGTGTTTGATGTAGAAGGAATATTTGAGGTAGTATTTAGAGATACATCTACCCCATTAAAAGCAGCCTCACCTACTTCATTATATTCAATGTTTTCACTAGCCCTATTTTCAGTGGTCCCAACTTTATTAAAAGCTGCACCAGATTCCTCTTCAAGCATGTGGACATATACTTCCAAAACAGCCCCATTTTGCAAACAATTACACATTGCTAAGAGAATATCATCATTGTCAATATCTCCTAAGATGCAACTGTTAGGTGGCCGGATACTAAATTTGCAATTTGGGCTATACCCTAGTTCTTTAATGTAGTCTTTAATCTCAAAATATGATATTGTATCCACATCAACATCAACATATTCACTCACTAA